TGCAGTCCACATGTTTACATATGTTTATTACAGTGACTTTGAATTACCTAAAGTAGTGTGGTAAAGCAACAGACTTGTTTTTATATTTCTGCAATCTACTTTAGTTTGTGTGATTTGTTACTGACTTTCATATTAATGTTTACACCATACTTATTTGTCAGTGCTTTATGTTACCATAATTATTACATGCTTACAAGGTTGGAAGTTCAACAAATCAGTCAGTATACTACTGTGATTGTAGTTGTTAAATAAAAAGTAATCTTGTTAAAATTAGTTAATGCACTGTGAATTAACATGAACTAACAATGAACAACTGTATTTTCATTAACTAACATCAACAAAGTTTGATGAAACCTTATTGTAGTCCAAACAAACCACAGCTAACAAAATCCATCAACTGGGTCTGAAAATCATTCTAAAAAGCATTCTGATTGGATCAGACTGACGACATACGGATGTTATGTCATTCCTATGTCAATGTCTGGAGACACACACAGTAGATAAGCCTGACAAAACAAACTTGACAATAGCCAGAACAGTGGACGGTGGCAAATCTTTGAAATAAGTAGTTTCTATTTCGGAGGGGAGTTCAACACCAACTCTCCGCTCCCCAAGTGTCAGACGCATGATGTCAGTATTGATGTATATGGACTGAGGGTTTGGAGCATTGAGCTCAGTCTCTCATCTGCTGTTGGCTTGTTGTCAGACAGAGCTCAGTGTCATTTACCCTTTCAACTGGCAGACAGGTGACAGATGAGAGGCTACTGAAAACAACGGCAGCTATCACAAGACTGCCTGGATCCACGCTAGACTAAACAGCTCTATCTATCCATCATATCATGACAGTCAAAATGGCATGATTCTCATTCCAGCCCATGCGGACTCAAACACAGCCATTCACAAATCCTCAATGAAACCCAGTTGTTTATATCTTATTTGTCTATACTTCTGAATAGTGTCCCTATGCATCTTGGGTGTTCTAGCTATTTGGCAAGCCGACTAAAAATGTGACGTAACGCCACAGTGACCGCATACACACTGCAGCTAAAAATGGTTGTTGCTCCATATTTAAGGGCTTAATCCTGTTCTGCACAAACACGGTTCAGTATGGAAGCCTGTGACTACCTCAAAGTGAAAAATATAAAAGGGTAATTGTGTCTTCATAACTTGTAATTATAAGTTTATTTCTCATAATCATGAATTTACACAGTATCTTACGATTTTGACTGTATATTTCTTGTAATTGTGACTACATTTCACTTAATTGCAACTTTATTTCTTACAATTGTGAACGTAGGCTATATCTCACAATCGCCACTTCATTTCGCATAATAGTTATTCCTCATAATTATCACTATGAGTTATTTCTCATAACTGAATTTATACAGTATCTTACAATTTTGAATGCGCATCTCCTAATTGGCACTAGGGCTGAACGATTTTGGAAAATAATCTAATTGCGATTTTTTTTTACCAATATTGCGATTGCAATTTAATATGCAATTATTTTTTAAAGCTCTTTAAAGTTCTGTATTATTCAACAAAGATAAGCTATAAATCATTGTATAGTATGACCAACACAATATTAGATAGATTAAACATAAATGTTCTTTTCTGTAGGCCAGGGCTATATGTTACGATGAAATTAGGTGATGCATGAATTGATATGAATGACATTTTTATTTAACAACTACAATCACAGTAGTATATTGACTGATTTGTTGAACTTCCAACCTTGTAAGCATGTAATAATTATGACAACATAAAGCACTGACAAATAAGCCTGGTGTAAACATTAATATGAAAGTCGGTAACAAATCACACTGCAGAAATATAAACACAAATCTGCTGCTTTACCACACTAGGTAATTCAAAGTCACTGTAATAAACATATGTAAACGTGGACTGCACTTTTTAAACACTA